TGGCGCTGAGATGTCATTTGATTGTTTATTAGGATGTCATTGTAAGGTCAAATCATCCCTTATCAATATTTATTCGGATTTAGGTGGATTTTGCTAATTAATTAAAGATTTTTAGGTATCGTATACCTTTCCCGTGTAATAGAAATTGCATGCGTATTTTGTTAGTAGACATTAATTGGATTAATGGATGGAACAATATCAAAGAACATTAATTGGATTAAATGTTTTTTTCGAAGCAGAAATAAAATATTCATTACTTTAACGTGTACATACATTGGGTGCCACCTTCACCGGACGAGCACAAAAAAAAAGATTTTTCATCCAGGGGTGGGTGAATTTAATATTCATTAAATGTTTTTTTTTTCTGTGTGTGTTGAGTATGTTCAATTGTTTAAGAGGCATGRTAGGTATAGCTTTTTCATCCACCATTCCATTATTCTTTATACCTATATGTGTATATATATATATATATACGATACGTGGTGCATAAAAAAAAAAAAAAAGTAGAATGTGAGTATGGATACACCAACTCACCAAGGATCTGTCAAACAAATGACTTTGATATTATACGAAAGAGCAAACGCCTCTTTAAAACCCCATACGGCCCCATACCCAACATTCGGAATCTCAAAAGCCAACATCGGCAAGTAGAAGAAAGAAAGGTGATCCATGATCGGCATCTAACTTGCTCTCTCTTTGCATCCAACATATAATACATATACATAATTTATCATGCAAGTAGACAAATGGGAGGGAAAAAAGAAGAGTTGAACGGCTAAGTATGAAAGAACCAAAAGCGATTGACGATGAACTTTGGTTAAAACAACTAGACTCCTATTAATCTATCTAAACCAATTCAAATTGTCAACTTGATTCATTATTCCAATATACGCAGAACAGAAAGGAAGCGCGGAATTCTGTTAAACAATATACAACCCATGGCAACGTCTATAAGTTGTGCTCCTAAATTAACAATATTGCTGTCATAGCTTTGTTCCTCATCACAATTTTTTGGAAAAGGAAATTTTACGAAAAACAAATATTTTGTAAATGGGTCACCATCTGGAGACGATGTTAGATACGAAAACCTCTTGATTGTCCACGTGGAAACGCTTAATACCACATAGGAAAAATGGGGGCTATTGAGATGAGAACTGGGAAATCGCCACATCCAGAAAGAGGGGTCGGTGAAGTTGTTTCTTTAAAATTCTTGAAAGATTCGTTGGATGACCTGGATACTGGAATCTAGATTACCATGAAAACCGTCAATTGAAGTGCGACGGGTGCCTGCCTGGGTCATTGATTCAACTGTTCGATCCGGGTCTGATAAGTAACACCATGCAAAGGGAAAAAAAGAAAAGAAAAAGATGAAAATACGATTAACTTAATAATTATGGTGATTGGTAAAATCCATTAAAAAAAGAAAGGATAAATTAACCCCCCCCCCCCCCGTATTATGGGGTCTGTAACAAAGAYCTCCTGTAATTTGTTTTGCGACAAGACCCCTGTATTATGACCGTGAGATACAGACCCCTTTCGTTAGTCCTCTGTTGAAGTCTGCTGTTACAATATTTTTTAATTCTCATATTACCCTTCACTGTTCATCTTTCCTACCTTACATGCACGAACAACATCGGCAAGCTGCTGCAGCGGCGGGGGACCTCCGTTGAATTCCTCCCTCTCTCTCCCTCTCTCCCCCAATCTCTCCTTCCGCCACCTTCCCAGACTTGCGAGGATTGCAGCAAGGCTGGCTCTTGATGCCAACAATGTCCGATCGGCAATCAGAAACAGGATTTCAGTTATCATGCTCGTTGCTTGCACAGCTGGGTTCATTCTGCAGTGGCGACTTTCCCTCGTCCTCATTGCTGTATTCCCTGTTGTCGTTGCTGCCACCGTTTTGCAGGTAATGGACAATTCAAATAAATAGATTTCCTGGGCGCGTTCTGCTGCAAATTATATTGTATTAAAACAAAATATGGAATGAAATGTTCCACCTGTTTATTTATGGCCGCAGAAGATGTTCATGAAAGGCTTCTCGGGTGACTTGGAAGCTGCTCAAGGCAACGCAGTTAGCAGGCCAGGCTGTGGCAAATTTCAGAACTGTTGCCGCATTCAATTCAGAGGCAAACATAGTCTGCCTCTTCTCCTCCAGCCTCGATTCACCCCTGAGACGCTGTTTTTGGAAGGGACAGATTGCTGGAATTTGCTACGGAGTAGCACAATTCTTACTCTTTGCCTCGAATGCCCTTGGATTGTGGTATGCGTCCTGGCTGGTGAAGCAGGGTATCTCTGATTTCTCAAAAAACAATCAAGAGTGTTCATGGTCCTCATGGTGTCTGCCAATGGCGCGGCTGAGACGCTCACTCTCGCTCCTGACTTCATCAAGGGTGGTCGTGCCATGAGCTTAGTCTTCGACCTCCTTGGTCGTAAGACAGAAATTGAACCAGATGACCCTGATTCTTCACCTGCACTGGGCACCGGACAGCCTAAAAGGGGAAGTCGAATTCAAGCATGTCGATTTAGCAGACGTGCAAGTCTTCCGAGACCTCAGCTTACGTGCCCAAGCGGGCAAACACTCGCCCCCTGTTGGTTCAAATGGGTGTGGCAAGAGCTCTGTTATTGCGCTTGGCATCAAGAGCCAGCCTTGCTGCAATCCTCGCAAGGCTGGGAAGGTGGCGGAAGAAAAGAGATTGGGGAAGAGAGAGGGAGGATTTCAACGGAAATCCGCCGCCACTGCAGCAGCAGCTTCGTGTATGTGAGGTCAGGAAAAATGAACAGTGAAGGATAGTATGGGAATTAAAAAATATTATAACTATAAATTTAAATTTCACCGAAGCGGGTTTTTGTCTCACAATCATAATACATAATACAGGGGTATTTGTGGCAAAACAAAATATAGGGGTCTTTGTCACAAACCCTATAGAACGGGGGTGTTTGTAATAGCCAAAAAGAGAAGGCAAAAGAACCACTGAAGTGAGGGGTGAGGAGTATGTATAAAGAATTAAAGAATGGTATATATGTTGATGTTGTGGAAAGATATAAAAAGGATGGGGATGGAGGATATGGAGTTGATGATGTACATGTCCACCAAGAAGCTTGGAATTTGTCGTTGTTAGCTCAATTCAATGCATGCAACTTGATACAGGAAAAGAAATTGAAAGAGAACGGAGGTGGAATCCGCGTCACACATAATTGTCTGTTCAACAACGCAAAACCAGGCAATAGAGGAGAGAGGAGGAGAGAGAGAGAAAGAGAGAGCGCTGTACAGCCAAGCACCACCACCAAAATACCCCAAAATTCCTGTTTGTTTCTCAATTTTCATCATTATCRTAACAAAAGAAAGAGACGGATGACAATGACAAGGAGATGCCAATTTCACGAACCTCTACGGCTCTACCACTTTTCTTTTTCCTTTCCTGGTTATATATCTACTTCTCTTCTATGGGTAATGGGCGAGACTCGAGAGCACTAGCGGGGTCAAAGTTTTCTAATACCTCCAACCGACCCTCCTCTCCTTGGGGACCTCCCTAACCTATTATCTCTCACTAGTCACTAATTACGAGAACATCAATCTCTCTATCTCCGGACTGGATGCATGGTGAATATTCGTATGGATCTACGTCATCTAGCAGATGGGGCCCTTATCTTGTTTGATCAAACAACCTGATGTCGTTTCATCCAGACGCAGAGGTACGAATACAATGATGCGAACTCCACAAGATCCAAAACAGAAACGAAAAACAAAGACATAAAAATTCTCACACACACACACACGAGCAGACCAGACGGCCAAGACAAAAGATCAAATTAGATTTTTGTAGCAGATGTGCATTTACCGTATACTCACATTTGTTTTGTTGTTGCGTAGGGAAATGGAAAACTCAGCTACCTCCTACCTGTGACCTGTGCTGTATAAAGTAACCTAATCAGCAGCTTGGGCCTTGGCCTTACTTAATAATAGTTAATAGTTAAACGGAATAAAATGAAGGAAAAAAAAAAAAAAAAAAAAAAACAAGGAATCAAGAGTGAGGAGGGAGGGAGATTGGAGAAGGTTCCGTGGGGTCCACGTCAAATGCGGCGAGGCGCAGCTATGTCTATGCAGCGAACCAACCAGTGGATTTCCTATTTATTATTGATCACTTTTTCTTTTGCATATTTTACCCACTATTGTGATTGAGAAAATGATCTTTCTACACTAAATAACTTTACTTGTTATCATATATATATATATATATATATATATATATATATATATATATATTCCACATCCAGGGCAGTATTTTATATTAATACAATCAGTAAGGGAGGGTGACGTGGATCCTATCACCCCCGATGGAGGACTGCCCCGACTGGCGACTGCGGCAGCCCGAGTCTCCGACAAGTGAAGGAAGAAACTTGACAGGGGAGATAAACCGAGCACGTAAACCGAAGCTGACATGCGCCGTACCCCCACCTCCCTCTCTCGCTCCTCGCTTCGCTTGCCTCTTGCCCTCTTGGTGAGTGAGTGAGGCTCCGCGCAGAGAGAGATTTGCATCGTCGTTCTTGGGACCCATCGCTTCTCATTACCCCTCACCGTTCTTAAGAGCCAGATTCTCTCTTTATGGTTTTCGACACTTGTTCATCACAAGGGACCTCCCTTCTCTTTCTCTTTCTCCTGCTCTCACAAAGGAACAAAACTTCTCCAACCCTACGGCGACGACCGACCTTCCCTTGCATTATTTATGAATTGCCTGTGTATATTACTTATTTTTTAATGGGTTAACATGGTTTCATTTTTAGATAACTAGGAGAAGGAAAAGGTTTCGCAGAAACAGATTACCAGACTCTTTTTTTCTGGTTTAGTGGTTTATGATCTCTAAAATTGAAAATTTCCTTAAATTCGGATATTTCACATTTTCGTATGAATTCGGTTAAGTCAAAACAATCTTTAAACGCATAATAGTATTTGTTAACCCGGAGGATTCATCACTAATTGCACAACAACTTAATTTGAAGAGTTTTATAGAAAAAAAGCAATTTTTATTCATAACCTCCTTTCTCCCCAAAAAACATCACCGGCAGACTCATCTCTCTCTCCCCTCCCAAAAAAGAGAAATCCTTTGCCGGATAGTTACAAAACCTCGCCGGATTTCAAAACCGGGACTTCACAAAGCACCAAGACAAAAAAGATTACAGGAACGAGCTCATATAAATGTCGATTCCCCCGCAAGTTAGACAACAACCAGAAGTCTCATGTCTCGTTTTATCAAACAAACAAATTCAGAAGCTTTCGCTCTCCGCTTCGCGTCTGATCCGCAACAGCTTCGCTGTCGAAACTCGTCGTTACCGATTCTTCCGAATTCATGGATGGACTCACAGGCCGGCGCTTCTCTTTCACGTACATCATTCCTCCTCTTCCTCCAGTTGCCACTCTTTTCGGTAACCCAGGCATCAGGGACAGATCGAGATCGCCCGGCTGTAGGTTTGGCGCCGCCAGCTCATGAAGGCCCCTTCGCTTCGGCGCCCTCGATCGCGAGCAAAGATCACGAGGCGGCTGCTGCTTATCGGTGTTGGAACACGGCACTTCCACCTCGGAAGCTTCGTCGGTATCATGCATCAGAATTCCGGCCAAAAAATCCGTCATGGGTCGCAGAGTGCCCCCGCGGAGGACGGTTTCAACAGCCGATTGGCATACGTGCCAGTTCCCAGTCCAAAGAAGTCCCACGGCTCCGCTCACAGGATTGACCGTGCGACCACACGCCTCGTATAGGAGAGACTGGAAGAGAGCTGGAAGAAACATGCATTAACGATTCATCAGTCGAAATAACAAAAGATATTAAAAATAAATAAGAGCGATCCAAGGGTTTTAGAGAACAAAAGCACGAAGAAAAAGTGACTAGATTATTTCTCTCCATTTTTTTCTTAATTTGTTTAGATGAAGTGTTTGTTCTTACCAGGTCTCTGGTTTTCCGGTACAGCAGAAATGAAGGACATGAGACCGGCACGGCCAAAAAACTTGGCTACAAAAACAGTAGCATGGCCTTGGGCCTCCGGATTCTCGATCCACTGAAGGCAGTGACGAAGGACGCAAGACTCGCTGCATCCCTTTCGAAGAACTCGACAGCCATTGCAACTCATCTCTTGTTGATCATGAACCAACTTCAGTGAGGTTGGGGGGACGAGAAGGATGGGATTTTCAGGAGATATCCTCGTTTAGAAGCAAGAGGAGAGAAGAAACGGAGAGAAAATCGAGGGGTTGAAAGTTGAAACTTGAAAGGTGTGGAAGAGGGAGAGGTGTGGGCTTTATATGTGAACGTGAGTGGAGGATGATTACTGATGACTGATGACTGATGAGAGAGAGCTTTGCCGGGGCCGTGTTTTTGCGTTTTTTTTAGAGAGAGAGAAAAAAAACCGACTAACCTAAGTACCTAACCTGAGTGGAGGGAGGGTTTGGTCTGGTTAGTATTTTTATTTTTGGTTTTGGGCAGTCTGTTTCCAAAGTTTCTTTATTAAATAGAATTTAGTGGATAGAAAATGAAGCAAAAGGAGGGGAGATTAGGTTCCAAACTCCCGGGCGCGAGCGGCTCCGTGTTTCCGCGAATGCATGTTCCTCCGCCGTTGGATTCCATCAAAAAAAAAAAGAGAAAAACACTGCGTAATCAACCCCTCTTTTCTTCCACTCCCCTTAAGCCTTATTCAACTGTCCTTTTTCTCCCTTTACTTTTTCCTACTTCCCTTCACCGCCTCGAAGAGAGAGAGAGAGAGAGAGAGAGAGAAAAGAGATGTCGTGTTGGTGTCGTCCACCACTTCTCACTTGATTTTGCTTTGCTGTGGCTATGGTCAGTATGGTGTATTGTATAGTTAGCCAAAAACAGAAAAATCAGAATGATCTACCCTACCTACAATGTCTACATACAGCATTTACATATCTGTGATGGGAGTAGCATGGCCCCATCACCCATGGGCGTCTCTCTGAAGTCTGATCTAGAATCTGAAGCACAAAAACACTTGTGGTCCTGATTCCTAAAAGCAGGTGGTATCCATACTAATACACTATTCACCACAAGCCGCCTCTATTTTTGGATATTTTTCCAGCTCTTTGGGTTGATAATGGACACTACGGGACGCCGTGGACGTGCGGTGTGTAGTACAACGTAACGTAGTGGTCCATATATGTCCACCATCTTCTAATTCCTAAGTCTAAAAGTCTAAACAACCTGTCCTGTCCACATACCAAAGTAACCGATACTGCTCTGTCTGTGCTCCTTACTTACTATGACATCCACCCTTCCTTAATTCTGTACACGTGGAATTCCTACATTTCACGCATTTTCTTGGGAATACAATTTTTCCTTTCTTGTGGCTTCTGGGTCCCGTTTTAGAATCTCTTCTCCAACTTTCAACCCATTTTTTTTCAATCCGCCATTGACCTGCTTGGTCAAATTGTCCGGTCATGATTTTGTGTTCTGTTTTCTTAAAATCCAACGATTAGTTAAAATCTGTTGATCTAATAAAAAAATCATTCCATCCGTGTGGTTGGACCATGGAACCATTTTACTCGGTGAAGGGGTCACAGGTTGCATATTAGAAGTGTACGTTAATTTTCGAAGGCCATAACTTAAATGTACTCGAATGTTTCATTGGATGATCTTCTTTTTTTTTTTTTGTTTTGGATAACTTTTTAAATCTATGCATTCCAAAGAGTTGTAGATGCCTTGCCCACTATTTTTGAAAAAAAAAMGTTTTGACCTCAAATTACACTTTTTTGATATTTTTATAAATTAAAAATTAAAAATAGAATTTTTTTATAAATTATGCATATATTACATAAAAGATATAATAAGAATAATAAGTAAAAGTGATTTGACCTCCGAATTGGTTTTAAAAGAATTGATTTGAACAGTGAAGAAATAAGAATAATAAAGTAAGGAGTGAATAGGTTTCCTAAGTAAGAAAAGTGAATTAGTAATTTGGTTTGGGTTTGTATGTAAAAAGTAAAAAGAAAAAAAAAAAGAAAAGAAAAAGAAAGGGTGGAGCCGGAGGGGTTGAATTGGATAAGCGCACATGTATTGAACGACAAGCGGAAGACCATGGGTGATGGTGGAGAGCAAAGAAGATTCTAATGGATAATGGTTTAATAGAGTGGAGTCAGTCCGAATCGGCTCCCCACGGACCGCACGCCCCACAGCACACCTCGGCGTGTATTATTAGGAACATCTCCAGTAAATGTTCCCAATGCACCGTTGGGATGTACTGTAGGGACCCAATGTGATGACGAATGGAGGAGCCAGTCAGAGCAGGCCCAGCATGGTAAGGTAAAGTGGGAAGAGAGAGAGAGAGATTTCAAAGTTGATGGGCTGTAGCCCCTTTTCAGTAAATCACTTTTGTGTGCAAGTGGATAATCTCCCCACGACGCGGTGACTGTTCTTGAAGGGCCAGGGCCCAACTTTGTTGCTCCATGAGCCTACCCACTCAAAAAAAACATTAAGCAATTAAAAATACAAATTTCAGAACGGTTCTAGATGTTAGCCTTATCTCGATGAAATATTACATTACATTGTAATAGGCATTGCCAAGTAATCAAACAAGGTGAAAATTTTATAGAATGACAACTAAATAATAAAAAAAAGGTTTCCCCTTCTTATCCTAAAAACATAGGAATTTCGCACGTAACAGAACTCTTTCTGGAGATGATGAAGAATTGAAATTTTGTTTAGTTTTTATTAAAAAGAGAGGTTGTTCATGGTGGTGGTAGCTAGTGGCAATAGTAGTTAGGTGCCCTTGATTTATGTTCTGGCCGACAAAAGGACCTAGTTGTTTGAATGCATAAGATTTCCCAACTGGGCTCCTTTGATTTTTGATTTTGGGATGAATACGAATATTACCAGCTGCTTTCATACAACCAAAAGGCCCACGTTCTGAACTTGTGCTAATATCCATACAATGAGAATGAGTGATCATAAGTTACTTCGTTTCAATAACTTCTCATTCCCGAACGAAATTTACACGTCTCTGTAATTTTCCTGGAAGCCCATCAGTTAGGATTCAGGGTCTTCTTCAGATTTAAAAGAAGAAAAAAAAAACGTGGGGGGAGAATGGATGGAAGGACAATTAATGTGCGAGTGCGAGTGCGACCAATACGGACCCTTCATCAGACAGAATAACATCAAACCTGATTCACGATACAAATTTTTGAGCGAGAAACATCTTATTCAATTCAGTCACTAATTGGGTATGATGGGAGAAAGTATACAAATCATGCATCGATCTAAAACCCGCCAAGGAAGGAAGCCGAGTCAATGAGGGAGTAGAGAGAGAATTGCGTCTGCTCTCCTCTCTGTAAGTCTGTATTTGTCTGTGGAAGAAGGGGGTAGAGTACGGCACCCGTGATAGGAGCTTCGTTTGTCTTTTAGTCTCCGCAGACGTGGCGTTTTTATCCATTTAAAGTTGTAATCAAAACAAGTCCACCACTCCACCACCGGAAAGTCTAATAAGAGAAAGAAGGATAAGAAGAGAGAGTATTTGTGTTTTCTATCTGCTACGTTAATTAACATCAACTGTCATTCAATTACGAAAAGCACCCAACTGTCCTTAATTGGTACACGTACACCCATTTGTGATTTGTTGTTTGTGCGATCGATCGATCGAGAGAGTCCAAGTGATAATAACCCTCGCACAAAGACGTACCTCAGCCATAGTGCTGAAATCCATATATAAATGGGTCGGTTTACCGTTTACGTACTCTGGCCGTGATTGTATTAAGGTTTTGCTTGTTAATTACTCAGGTAATTAAGGGTGATCGCAGAAAAAACAAATCACTTCCAACAACGGAAGCAGGTGACCTGATATATGCAAGTAATTAGGATCGATGTTAAGAGGGAGATGATGGTTGACAATTATATTTGATGTGTTCTCTTGTAGCAATTTTTTGAGGTTTAAAACAAGCAAGGAGTGATGATCATGGACATTAATTGTTTAATTTAATGTTAAATCAATATTAATTAAATCGTTTCTAGCTTTGCATGCCCAGGATTCCTTAAAATAAAAAAATAAAACTAATAGATGATTACAATGGGCTGTTCTAAAACCATGGCTCTAATTCTACTAATTAGTCCAATTATGTATCATATAAAAACATCAATTCGCAGTTTGTGGACCACTTATATATATATATAAGCTCCTTTGTCTCTGCACTAAACTAAACAACATACATTTCTTCCACCATGCACCAAAACTTTAATAAGAAAAAGAAAATATCATCGATCGAAGACCAATGCATGGATTATTTGATGTTTTTAGCTTCAGTTGGACTACATGCCATGCATCCATTTTCCAGTGTGCTGTTTTTGTATTTTAATTAATCTGGCTTGTTTGTTTCTTAAGTTAGCAGCTCTCTCTCTCCCACAAGTCACAATTCACAAACTAGCCATGCTGTCAAGCAAATGATGATGCTGATTCAATGCTGGATCAACAAACAAACATATTTTTATCAGAACTAACTAAATAAACTAATCAGCTAGCGCATTACCCTTGTTAATTAGTTTTCAACTTAATAAATGAAATGCTAAATAATAGCACGATTATATAGAAACATTTTTTTTTTCTTCCAATTGTCATTTAGTATGCAGGTAGGTGGAACAGGAACTAGAATACGTCACTCCATTGTAATGTATTTGTTAGATTGATGCCTGTTAATTTCTAAACAGAGGAATACATGATGAATTATATATGCCTAAAACTAAAACTAAAACTGTAATCTTAATTTGCCGTTGCCGACAATTCCAATATTCCACCGCTTTCGCGTGGCAGACAGGAATTCACTCACGGGCCCAATCAAAGTAGTCCCTCCCTCCCAGTCCCAGGCTCCTGCCCTTCTTTGAATTGAACGTCGGACGTCGCTTGGGCTATATTCTCATCCTCCTGAAATAAAAGCTATACAAATCAAATTGAAACTTCGATCAGTCACGCCCACATATAAAAACAAACATTCGAATTGTCGTGAAATGCCGGCAGAGTCTTCAAGATTCCCTTAGGTGGGACCTCCGTCCTCGCCTCGGTAACAAGGCAGGTTTAAGTGTTTAACGACTAAATGAGAAGCACGTCTGCGTTCCAAATTAAAAGAAAGATATTAGGTATCACATTCAGGTGGTAAAACATCTATCTTTTAGCTTTCAGCTTCACTAATGGTGATCTCACAAGCGGACAAAATATACGGCCTGGCCTTCCTCCAACTTCTAACTCACATCCAACTCATTACTTTTGGGCTTAATCCACTTCATTCGTACGCATTACACTATTTTTTTGCATTTTACACTGCTTCTGAGTCAAAAAAAAAAAAACAATGGAGCGTTAAAAGGTATGTCCTCTCTGTTGGTGATTTCATGGTTTGGGTGAGGGTTATAGTTGGGAGGAGTTCACCAATTCGGATTGGGTTAGAATTGACCCTAACCCAACCTGACTAGTTGCATCCTAAGGAT